GAGGGAGAGGGAGAGGGAGAGGGAGAAAGAGAGAGAGAGAGAGAGAGAGAGAGAGAGAGAGAGAGAGAGAGAGAGAGAGAGAGAAGATGGGGTAGCTGGGCCTTCCTGATCCAGTGGCCACACTGATGACAGTCACTTCAGAAGTCCTTCAGCATACACCCACTCTGCGTTCATGGTCTTGGAAGACTCTGCACACATTTTGTTCTTTAAGACCGTGTGTAGAAGTCAACAGGAACCCACCCTGCTTTTTTGGGACAGAATCTTATACCGTAGATCCTGGCCTCAGGAACTCTAGGTTGATAATAAACACCTGAGCTCCTGATCCTTTTCTGAAGCCTTTGCCTCCACCTCCCAAGTACTGGAGTTACAGACATTCATCGCCCGTGTCTAACTCAGAAACTATCCCCCTTTTAATGGAATCAAGGTCTCACTATTAGTCCTGGCTGGCCTGAGACTGGCCTGTGCAAACCAGGCTGGCCTCAAACTTGTGGAGATCCTCCTGCTTCAACCTCTGGAATGCTGGGATTAAGGGTGTGCACACTTCATCTGGCCCTACATTAATTTCTTAACAGTCAATAAAAATAAAGCCCTAATTTTAAGAGTCACATGGGTAGAGCTAGAACCTGGGCTGCCAGGGTCCAAGTCCAAGACTTCTCTAACCCCACCCTGTAGCTCTTTGCTGGACACCACACAAAGCAAATTGAACAGATGTGGTCTCTGCCCTCTGAAAGTTTGGACTCAAATGGTCAGCCAGGATGCTGACAAACATAAAAGAACAAGGTGATTTGTAGTCAACACACGCCAATAGATGAGTGAGTTAACAGGAGAGCTATGTTTATCTGGTCTACTAATATTATTTTAATTCCAGTCAGGCAAAAAGGACAATATTAGTAATACTGAGACAGTTAGGGCTTATCTCAATCTGCCAACTTACTTTTCACAGATGAAAAAATATTTATAGGGGGTGGAGAAACAGTTCAGCACTTAGGAGTACCGGCTGGGTTTGATTCCCAGGACCCATGCAAGCACCAGGCACGCATATAACATAGATATACATGCAGGCAATACACACACACACACACACACACACATATATATATATATATATATATATATATATATATATATATATATATATGGGAGTCTATGAAAGTCAGTATGTGGCTCATACCTTTGATCAGTTTGAGCATTAGGGAGGAAGAGGAAGGCAGATTTCTTTGAGGTTTGAGGTCAGCCAGATCTGCATAGCGAGAACTCTTTCTCCAAAACCAATAAAAAATAAAACAACAAATAAATAAAAAGGAAAGTGGTGGGGAGGAAGGAAGGAAGGATGGATGGATGGATGGATGATGGATCTCTGCCTCCTCTCTTCCCAGTCAGTAACATCTTCAACATTATTCTCCATGCAAGGTCTATAGTGATGGCAAAATGATAGATCAGCTCAATATCTGTTTTAGTGTTGGAGCACACAGTAAAGATTCATCCTTACCTTTGCCAAAAGGCCACTTCCTATAATGGAGAGATAGACTTTTACATTTGAGAGACTTTGGTTCAGTACTAAGAGAAATGCCTTAGGAAATTGGGCCCAAGTTCCTCCTTAGGGTTTGGCCGCGAGGTCTGTCTAAAGCAAAGGGTTCCAAGACCCTTAGACTGCAGTCGAATGTGAATCTTCAAAGAGGCTCACGCACTCTTTTAGGATTAATTGTTTTTATGGCTTGTTTTGTTTTGTTGTAATTGATGTGACATGTGCCCCAGAGGCACACACTGAGGTCCAATTGAGTTTTCTTTTAATTGGAATTAATTAAAGAGGGCAGCTGAGAGGGGCTAGAGTCAGTGCCAAACTCTGTAACCCTAAACCAGCCAACCCACCCAACCGGCTGTACCACCTGAGAAGCATCCGGAAGTTCTCAAGAAGAGACCTGGGAAGCAGGGCAGGAATAGGGGACTGCTAGGGAATTCTGGGCACCTCAGATTTCAACCCCCTAGAGGCCTGACTCTTGAAGGAGAAATTTCGTAGCTGCAAAAAGGGAGAAAGAAGGTCAAAGGAGATAGGTGAGATTACCAAACCTGGGAGCAAGGGGGCTGGAAAAGCAGGGATTGGCGGGAGTAAGAATAAAGGAGGATCTGCGTAACAGGGCCTGGAGAGCAGAGTCAAGGAGGTGGAGCCTGCTTGAGGAGTTGTGGGGGTGGACAACACGTTGCCTGAGGGCTCAGCCTTCAGAGGTATTAATTAAACCCAGACCTGAGGTTGTTAACAAACCTGTGGCAGCTTTTCATAGGAGTTGGGTTAATAACAATAACAATAACAATTAAGTATGAGGAGACCTTATCTGGAGCAAGTTCTTCTTAGAGGTTGTACCAGTCTTTAACTCCCCTGCCCCCTCAGGGCCACATTTCCTAGAAAGTAAATAAGGGTTTAAAAGTATATCTATTGCCTTTGTGCACCTGAGGATGCATCTGGAATCCCTTGCCAGCCCCCAAGGCCTACTGCCTTGGACAGGTGGCTTTGTTCATTACTCAGAATAAAAGCCCAGGATTTAAGACTTCACGGGTGGGGGTTTGGTGGGGGGTTGGGGGAAGTTGGGGAGGGTGTAGGCTGGAGGGATGGCTCAGTCAAAACACTGCTTTTGAGGAGAACTAGAATTTGATTCCCGTCACCCACCACTTGGTAGCTCACAACCACTTGCTTATTCCAGGTCCAGGGTTTCTGAGACCATCTTCTGGTCTCAACAGATACCAGGCACTCCTGGGGCACACATGCGCATACATGCAGACACTCCTGCATACACATAAAATAAAAGTAAACCTTAAAAAAAGAGAGAGATCATAAGCTGTGAAAGTATTCTGAATGGTTTAGTCTCGGAAATGATACTTAAACGAGTAGAAATGGAGACGCTGACACCACAAGATGGCTGGACAAGGCTGATGCGAACGGAAGTCTGTCTGAGACAGTGGGACAAGGCGACGACATACTTGGAGTGGAGAGCCAAGAAGTGCTCTCGGGCGTGTGGGGGTTAGTGGGCTGCAGGGAGAGGTCTGGCTGGCCTAGCACTGAGCTTTTTGTCCTTCAGTTATGATAACCTGGGCCAGACATGGTGGTACACCCCTTTATTCCTAGCACTTGAGAGACAGAGGCAGGGGCAGGCAGGAAAGTCTGTCTTTAAAAAAAAAAAAGAAAAGCCGGGCGGTGGTGGCGCACGCCTTTAATCCCAGCACTTGGGAGGCAGAGGCAGGTGGATTTCTGAGTTCGAGAGTTCGAGGCTAGCCTGGTCTACAGCGTGAGTTCCAGGACAGCCAGGGCTACACAGAGAAACCCTGTCTCGAAAAACCAAAAAAAAAAAAAAAAAAAGAAAAGAAGATAAAAAGATATTGGGATAGGAGGGGTATCAGGCAACTAATCCACAGACCATGGAAGGAAATTTAGAATGAGAAATTGGGGGGGGGGGGGAGATGCTAGACTAGGGGAGCACCTGTAATGGATCTTTAGAGAGAAAGCTTTTGTGTCAATAGAAAGACCAGTCTTGTATATTCAAACCATAGCTTGTTATAACGGATCACATGCTCCAATCTAATGCACAGACGGAGAGAACTGAGGTTATTATCCTAGGCTGCAATGTAGAACATGCTCTGTGCAGCATGCAGGTGGCTTGGTTGATTCCGTTTTGAAAAATGGTCTTTCTGCCGGGCGGTGGTGGCACACGTGTTTAGTCCCAGCACTTGGGAGGCAGAGGCAGGCGGATTTCTGAGTTCGAGAGTTCAAGGCCAGCCTGGTCTACAGAGTGAGTTCCAGGACAGCCAGGGCTGCACAGAGAAACCCTGTCTCGAAAAACAAAAAACAAAAAAAACAAAAAAAGAAAGAAAGAAAAATGGTCTTTCTGTGTAGTTTAGGCTGGGCTCGAACATGAAATCCTTCTGCCTCAGTTGTGGGATTTTACACATATGCGCCATGACATGCAACTAGCACCTGTTTTCAAAAGAAAGCAGAGCAGCAACCTCAATATACTTCAACAGAATGAGTATCCTGCATGCTCTTTAGACCCCAGAGAGCCAGGCTGAAGTGGGGCTTGCCTGTGTGTGTTATGAAACACAGAGCCAGGCAGCAGAACTGTGTTGTGAGACAGTAGGGACCAGTGCCCAACCTTCTGACCACCATCCCTCCAGAACCGTCTTCCTCTCTCCTCTGTGTTACCACAAAGAACTGTATGTAAAGAGGACACTGAAACTTCCTGGACTTGAGTACCAGTTTACCTTGTAAACTGTATCAGAGAACAGAGTTAAGTGTTACTTGGTGAAGCTACAGAATGGAATGTTCTGCTTAATCAAATAACTGGTTAATAATGCACTATTCAACAGGCAGTGCTATTTGGAATAAGCTTATGTTAAACTTACTCATTGTTTGTTTGAAATCTAAATTTCACTGGCCAAGCTCTGTTTTGTTTGACAACCCCGCTGCTAGGCAAACCCCTAGATCTGCACCCATGGGGAACCTAGAGAAGAAAGCAGCAAAGGAAAGAGAACAAGGAGCCTGTTGGTGCCGTAGTAGGAAGTGGTACAAAGGAGATGGCCTAAGGCATGTAAGGGAACCTAGAAAATCAGAACAGGTCACTACCAAATCAGCCAAGTATATATCATCACACCAGGTACCCGGCTGGGACATTACCAAGTCTTCAAATGGCCAAATGTCACCTACAGTGTTCTGGAAATCTCAGGGGGTATTAAATAAATAAATAGCATTAAAGAATTAAATAAGTATCATAGCTGGTAGTGGCAGCTCATGTTGGTAATCCTAGCACTTGGGAAGCTGAGGAAGGAGAATCACCAGGAGATTGAGGCCAGCCTGGGCTACATTGTAGCTCCAGGCAAGCCTTATATATAGAGGCAGGTAGATCTCTGAGTTCCAGGCCAGCCTGGTCTACAGAATGAGTTCCAGGACAGAACTACACAGAGAAACCCTGTCTTGAAATACAAACAAATAAACAAATTGTTTACTCTCTAACACCCAGAACAAATCTCAGCAGAAAGGAGAACAGATTAGGCAGCTTCCAGCCTTTGTTTCCTTACACCAACAGAGGAAGCCAGGCGAGTCATCCAGAGGATTGTAGTGTCACGTGTTCTTCGTGGCAGCGAATCCCTGGTGCTCGGTGTCTCCTTCCTTCCTGTGTTGGTGAGCCTTATTGTGGGTTAGGTTCTGTTTTTAGCACTGAGCATCAAGATATTTGCAGTTTAGTGAATGGTTCCTCCTGTCCTAACTTTCATCATGCTACCCCATATAACCTGAGCAGCTATGGAAAAAGCAAGATATTTTCGTCTGCTTTACAGACGAGAAAACCCTGGTACAGAGAACATGACTCTGAAATGGCATAAAGTCACATTGCCCTTACTGGCAGAGGCAAGAGTGAACTGGGGTAGTCAGAGCCCACACCAGCTTTCGTTTTCCTTTCCCCAAGACATTTTTTTTTTTTTAAAAAATGTGGATATCATGAGTGCCCACATGTATGTATGTGCACCATATGTATACCTGGTGCCCAGAAGAGGGGGTCAGATCCCCTGGAGCTGGAATGATAGCTGATTGTGACTCACCACATGGGTGCTAGGAATAGAGCTCCAATCTGCAAGAGCAGACTACTGAGCCATCCCTCTAGTCCCCACACCAGCTCCCTTAACCACAGTGCTGTGCTACCTGGCACCTCAAGCTTCGCTCAGGTTTCTTCAATGTTTCCTGTCTTGTATGTATAACATAGTGCCTCCCAAAGACCCACATCCACTTTTCCAAACCTGTGAATATGCCACCTTATTTTGCGACAGGGATTTTGCAAAGTGACCGAGTTCAGGGCTTTGGCGCTTAAACTGATTCTAATGGACCTGGTGCCATCCCAGGAGCCATGAAGACAGGGGCAGAAGAGTGCTGGAGTCTGAGATGCAGTTAGGGAAACAGGATTGAAACCATGTGATGCTGGCTATGAAGATGGAGAGGGATGGGAGCTGAGGCTTGTGGGCTGCCGAGAGAAGCAGAAGTGAGCGAGCAAGAGATCGGTTCTCCCCAGAAGCTATCCAAGGGGAGATACCGCTGTCCGCTGCAGCCTAGTGAGGCTTCACATTTGTGTGGTTTTATGCTACCTACAGTGTGTGGCGATTTGCTAGAGCACTCATAGGAAATACATGCAGCTCTCCATAGCTTACATGGGAACCCAAACTATTTTGCAAGACATATTGAGACCTGCCCAAATGTGGGGTCAATTTCACTGCCCCTGACTCTCCCATGCCGTACGTCTTGAACATCTCCAGCATCTGCAACAGACAACGCTCTTCCACCTGGAACACCCTGTCCGTACTTGTTTATCTAACAGAGAGCTGGTCCTTTACATTTCAGCTCAAATGGCTACCTCCTCTGAGAAGCCTTCCCTACTTCCTCAATAGGACCTTGGGTCACTTCCTCTGTGTTCTGCTACATCTGTATTCAGCCTGGTTAAAGCAGGGCCTCCCTGGATTATAAGCTATTTGAGGAGGCTAGGGTTTCCTCCTTCCTCTTTGGTATCCTTTAGCAGCCATAAAATGAAGGCTGCCAAGGACCAGGGCTCTTCCTTGACTACCAGTGTGCCCTGGCCCATCAATATGATACTCTGACTCCATTTTCCCACCAATAGTGTGCCCTGGGTGAACTACTACTTTCTTCTTTAACAAGAGATGAGGATAAAAGAGATGGTGCTTCAGCTTTAAGAAAAAAAAAAAACAAAAGGCGTTGGGCTGGGATGAATTGCAGCTCAACAGGTAGAATCCTTGTCTAGCAAACACAAAGCCATGGGTTTGATCCCCAATGGTGTATCAACTAAGTGTGGTGATGCACGCCTGTAATCCCAGTACTTAGGAAGTGGATCCAGGAGGATCAGAACTCATGAGACCCCACCTCAAAAGAAGGAGAAGGAGTTGGGGAGGCTGATGATGATGATGGGGTTAGAATAATCCAGCAGTCCTCACTGTACATACAACTTCCTCTCCAACTCTCGATTCCTCAGACTGAGACATGATTCTGGAGAGAAGCTTCACTGCAAAGAGCCATACCTGCCATGTTCCTTGTATTGTGAGCATTTACACTGGTCTTTAGTCTCAGGTGAGTTCTTCCATGTTGACAGGTGACAACCCTACAGAAAGCTTTCCGGCATGCTTTAGATTCCCAGTTTCTTCCTAAGGTGCACACTGCTGTTTGGAATTCCCTGGACCGAAGGCTTCCCCACAGGTAATTCAACTCCATGGCATTGTGAAAGATGTCCTCCATCCTCCAGGCTGTCCCCAGGGCTCTCTATGGTGTATCTAAAGGTGTGGATTCTGTCTATCTGGAATCTAACTGATGTTGTATGAGATATTCACCCAGACAAGCTGTGGGCCTTCATTGTGATGGTGGCCACCTTTCAGGGCACATTCTCCTGTGTTTAGTGAGATCCATCAAGTCCTATAATGACTCATCCCTGTGCTCAGTGCTTTAAGGGACTAAAATGAAATGATCTTGTGATCTACACAAACATCAGGTGTGTGTCGTCATATATATCAAATAGTGGGCTGGTGAGATGTTTCAGTGGTTAAGAGCCCTGATTGCTCTTCCAGGGGTCCTGAGTTCAATTCCCAGCTACCACATGGTGGCTCACAACCCAGGGCTTGACCAGCTGAACAAGGTGGTATAAAAGGCCTGAAGCTGATATATATATATATATATATATAATTAGTATGCAGGGCTTGACCAGCTGAACAAGGTGGTATAAAAGGCTTGAAGCTGAGCTGAGGCATGCTGGAATAAAAGCTAGATGGGTGTGAACAACAACAGAGAGGTATCCTCACGTCGGGACTCGATGTTCGATTGCACAGTGAAGCCAAAAGAAAAAGGGCAAGGGAAGGGGGCGGTGAGAGGAAGAGGAAGAAGAGGAAAGAGAAAAGAGGAATGGGAGAAAAGAAGGGAGAAGGGGAGGGGAGGGTCTTGTACACTTGTAATGACCTACCCTTTGGTTTGGAAAACTCCACACTTAGGGCAGCATTTCAGCCATGTTATTTCTCACACCTGCCTCACTGTACAGCTCCACTTTTCAATGTCACCAGGCAGATCTAAGAAGGACTGCTCTCCTGCTCGGCTTCCTGGGCACCGCAGCTTCTCTCTTAGCATTTGAAAGCTATCCCAGCTTCATGACCAGGAATTCTACCCCTGGGCTAAGGTGCCTTGAAGACAGAGTCACCAAGTTGTGGGGAGAGCCCCAGTCACGCACGAGAGGACCGGGAGACCAGTCAAGCATGTTCTGGCTCCCACCTGCCCCCTCGTTATCACATCCTTTCAAAATTATCCATCTGAGCGTTGGTGCTTAAGGAAATGGGGTGGTGATCAGCCCCAAAGGCCACTTGCTTATGTTGGTTTACTGGAGCTGTGCATTCAGAGTAGAGAACGTCTCATAACTTGCCAGGTGGTGTGGGGCAGATAAGAGAAAAGGAGGGATTTGTAGCATCTTGCCTTGGTAAGACAGTTGGAAGCCTTTTCTTCTGATTAGCTTGGTTAAGCATCCACCCAACGTCAAGCAACCACACGAAGAGGAGTTAGAGCCTTCCTTCATGGACAAGTCTCATACAGGAGACCTGCCTACCCCTGTAGCTAAAGCCAAGCACAGCGGATTTCTTTCCCCACCAGATGACTGCCCTACGGGTCAGGGGATAGGAACTGTTACTTCCTTTTTCTTTTTTTTTCTTTTTTTTTTTTTGGTTTTTTGAGACAGGGTTTCTCTTTGTAGCCCTGGCTGTCCTGGAACTAACTCTGTAGACCAGGCACTGTCCTCAAACTCAGAAATCCACCTGTCTCTGCCTCCCAAGTGTTGGGACTAAAGGCGTGCACCACCACTGCCTGGCAATCTGTTACTTCCTAACTACAAAACCCCAGACAGCCTTTGGTCTGTGCTTCCCCGTCCTGGGCTGGAGATTGAACTCAGGTCCTCAAGCTTGTTTAGCAAGTATTTTACTCACCAAGTCCAGTCTCCGAAGGGCTTAAAAAACAAACAAACAGATATTTAGACTCTAATTTTTGTATCTATTTCCTGTATCACTTCCAGAGGATGCTGACTGCAGGAATGGAGGACCTTTTACCACTGCAGAAGAACAATGTGGTGCCTACGGGGACATGGCATGTGAACATTCTCCATTCCTCCCAGCGAGGCACTCTGGACAATGTGAAGAGCCCAGCAAGGGAAAGCTCGAGGAGAGCAAGGTGGGCAGCAGAGCAGGATTTGGGGAAACTGTGAGCACTGCTCTGTCTGACCCTCAGTACATCCGTCTCCATCAGTATCTACCCACCCTGCTCAAGCATGCCCCTTACTCACTCCGTGGCAACTGGCCTATCTTTCCCCCAACGTCAAAAGAGCTAATTCAGCGACTGTCATAGTACTTGGTCCATAGCCTCTATTCTAAATATGCCTGTCAAATTAATTGGCTATAAACATGGAAAGGTTTTTCTTGAAAAGGCGTATGCTGTCGTTCAAATGTTGCCATTACTGATATTTGTGTGCTGAGGATGTGAAGGGACACTATTGGGGACAGGAAGGGACTCTTTGGGGGATAAGGAGAGACACTGTTGGAGACAGGAAAGGGTAGTTTTGGGGATGAGGAGAGACACTGATGGCAGTAAGAATAAAAACCTCTGCCAGGGCCCTGAAAGTTCCCCAGAAGCTCATATTATATCTAATTAGCTTTGAGAGTCCGCTGTGGAGTATCTGGATCACTGGAGAAAGCAAGTAGGTGGAGGTCTTGCAGGCAGACGGGTGTGTTTGATCTGATAGAGTCACAATGAGCCTATGTAGTCTGATACAATGGGAAGCCCAAGAGATGACTTTTGTAGCTCAAGGCTGGATGTTCTAATGAAACTTGCTTGTGTGTGCATGTGTGTGTGTGTGTGTGTGTGTGTGTGTGTGTGTGTAACTCCATAGAACTGGCAGGCTGCTGGCATGGGTAGAGCAGATACAACCACCACCAGGGCAAAGATGTCTCTGGACTCAACTAAGAAGTTCATCAAAGAGAAAGACTTGTCTTTCTCCAGAGAGCCTCCTGAGAGCAGAGATGAATGTATCTCATGTATTGAACCACAGAGCCCAGTAGCCTGCCTTGCTCACAGCAGTTGCTTTACCTTCATGAATGTGTGACTGATGGTGGATCCTGGGAGCGCTTGTGGAGGCTGCTAGGATGCTGCTTATCACCTTCTCTCCTCCAGCGTCCACGGCCTATTCTGTGTTGACCCACTTTCCCTTTAAGCCAGAAGATGGTTCCAGGGGCTGCTACTCTCTAAGTGACAGGCACAGGTAGAGAAAGGGCCTCAGCCAGCAGACTATTGGACCGCTCCCTTCCTTCTCCAGTGGGTGCCCAGTGGGCCAGAATCCATATGTTTTGTAGGATTCCACTCAACCCCTTACCAAAGTCATCAGTCTGCCGTTCACGTTCCCTTCCAGTCCTTCTCCCTTTGATCTGTCTCAGCAAGCAGTGACACATCCCCACTGGAAGCTAGTGTTAACAAATGTACACACAACACACGACAATGCACACAACACACACACACACACTACACCTTTCTCGGTCTATGAGCCTTTGTCTGGTCTTTTGCTCCTGGGCCTGACCCATCTTTATGAGATCTAGGCTCTTCCTATCCCAGGATGCTGAATCTGGCCTCCGCTGGGGCAGAGCTGGGCATTTTGCACGTCTCCAGCCTTGCCTTCCCTTGGGGGCTTGTGGAAGATCCACCCATATAGCAGAACCTTCCAGAGAGACTCGAAACCAAGCGCCTGACCTCATGATGCCCGAAGCACCTGGCACAGAGGGTACCAGCTCTGATGTCCTGGCCCCAGCCCAGTTCTCTCTTCTAGAATCCACACCTTCCCTGGCTCTCCTCCAGTCCTGCAAGAACAGCCCCAGCTTACAGAGAATAAGCATGACCTTATGAAGGACATAGTAAGGGAAGGAGGGGTCTCCACTGAGGGACCTCACCAACTCATTCATTGCTGGTGTGTCTCAGTTTCCCCTGGTGAAACTCTGCCCACCTGTCCATGGTTGTAAAGGAGCTCGGAACGGCCGGAAAACTCTGGTTATGTCCTGTTGTTCCCTTGCTGCCAGGAGCTACCTGCCTGCCCCACCCCTTGCTAGTCGGTGACGCTTGCCCAGCCAGGCAGGGTCCTGCAGGATGAAAGTTCCAAGAAGCCCGAGCAGGAATAATAACGACACTCATCAGCAGTGGCGTCGTCTTAGCCACCTGGGAATGCAGGGCCCCACGCCCTGTGCATCACACCCCAGGACACTGCAAGGGCTCCTTTCCCTAGATTTTATTACAGGGATCCCACACTCAGCCATTCCCAGCCCAACCCATCCGAGTTTCCAAGAGCTTCAGTCTAGCCACCAGCCTCATCCACCACCCAGGCTCCATGGGAAGATTTAGCTTAACAAGACCCAAGCCAACAGGGGTGAAGGACGCCCAGCCGCTTGGAAACTTGGGTTCCAGGGTTTCTCAGAGAAGCAATCCACCTGCCTCTGGCCCAGGGCACTTTCCCACAGACCCGTCTGTGTCTGGTCAGTACAAAGGTCTGAAGCCTTGCATCTGAATTGCTGTTCCCGAGTAACTCACTCTAGGGCTCTGGACAAATTTTGTTTTTGATCGTTGCTTACCCAGAAACTTTCCAAAGCTTGTAGTGCTCACGAGTGATAAATGGGGGGAAGGGGAGCAGGGGAGAGTATCTCTCATTTCCAGTACACATTTGCAATCCTCATCTCCCGTATTCTTTCCTTGCCAGAGTGAAGTAAGTACTCAGCTCACTCCATGCGTCCCACGCTTCTCCGTGTGTGGGGTTGGCTCGGTCTTTGGGATGTCAGTATCTCCATCTCTACTTGATCAGATTCTCTGACCTTTCAAGGCTAGGCCTTGAGCCATGCATGACCGTGTCTGACTCTCATCCTACTCTGGTTCCTCTTCATCTGAACCTCTTCAAGCCCCTATCCATTTGTGTCATAGTTATCTGTGAATCTTAGCTTACCCACAAGGCCATCCGTGCCCTGGCATCTCCCCCGTGCTTTCTTGGTACATGACCTCGAAGCTGAGGCATAAGCTCAATGAATATGTGTTGGACATAAACTGTGGAGAAGAATCCTTTTTTCCCTGTTCAATTCCTCACACACATGTACTTTTAAATAGAACACATAATTATTTTACTACAAAATGCAATTGGTGTAGAAAGAGACGGGAGGAGAGCAACCCTACCCTAGCTTTTTTGGCAGGTGGGCTGCAGGCACCTAAGCCCCAGAGAGGATTTCATCCCCATGACTTTGTCTCCAAGGCTGACACATGTAATGCTTCCCGTGACCAGTCACTGGCCCAATTCACTTTTGGCCTCTGTCTAGAAGGAGGTAGACTCTTCCCTCCATAGAGAATGACAGTCCCCCCTTCCCCTTTCAAGCTTCAGTTTTTCTAAGCCCTGGCAGTCTCCATTCCCCCAGGACCTATATGCCACAGGGACCCCTAGATTCATATGGTGTCAGGAAAGCAAGAGTTGGAATGTTTGCTAATGACCCCTGGCCTGGATGTTCACTGGAACCCCTCAGAGGCACATAGAGCACGGCTGCTAGTGTTGTTAAATAGTAACAATAATTCAGCAACGGCCTGTATTTACCTAAGGCTTTTCTCCAGGGAGCTTGACTAATCTTTCTCTCATCTCCAGAAGGAAGGGAAGGACCAAGGCGATGAAGGACAAGTGAGCCATTGCAGCCACACTCCCGGATACAAGCATCCTTTGTTCTGCAGGAGAAATACAATCCCTAGTATTTCAGATGTGGAACACTGAGGGAGTAGGAAGGTAGCTCGTTCTCTGGGATCCAAGACCCAGGATTTTAAAACTTTTGCTAAAATTACAGTCTTTGTGAAGTGACACTCCCCCATAGCAAAGTACTTACTTACATCTTGCTGTTGTTTTGAGACAGGTCTCACTATTAGCTCTGACTGTCCCGGAACTCACTTACTGGCCTCAAACTCACAGAGATCCACCGGTCTCTGTCTCCTGAGTGCTGGGTCTAAAGGCATGCACCACTATGCTTGGCTAAGGTATTACATTTTATCTTATTTTAATTATTTTAATTATTTCGTGTGTATGTGTGCGTGCACGTATGTATGTGTATGTATGTGTGTGTGCATGTATATATGTGTGTGTGCATATGTCCACAAGTTATATGTCTGTGTGCTTGTTAGTAGAGGCTAAAGAAGGACTTTGAGAGTCCTGCTTCATCACTTTCCATTTTTTCCCCTCAAGACAAGGTTCTCACTGAACCTGGAGAGCTGGTTGGTAGTTAGCAAGCCCCAGTCATCCGCCCGTCTCCATACCCCTACCCCACCGAGGTCCATGGACTCAGCCACACTCAGCTTCTTACATATTTGCTGGGATTCAAATTAAGGCCCTTGTGCTTTCAAAGCAAATGCACTTCCCCCAGGGATTTCTGTACTCCAGGCTGGCCTCACATTTGCTATGTAGCCAAGGCTGGCCCAGAGCTCCTGACCCTCTTGCCTTCCAAGACATACATCACACCCTGCTAAGCTGCTATTCCTAATACATGGCTGCTATCACAAGCCATAGTATATATTTGAGGTGAGTCTCATGTTTTTTTTTTGTTTTTAAAGATTTATTTATTTTATGTATGTGAGTACACTGTTGCTCTCTTCAGACACACCAGAAGAGGGCATCAGATCCCATTACAGATGGTTGTGAGCCACCATGTGGTTGCTGGGAATTGAACTCAGGACCTATGGAAGAGCAGTCAGTGCTCTTAACCACTGAGCCATCTCTCCAGCCCCAGTCTCATGTTTTAACAATGGCACAACTGTTCCACTTCAAATTGTTGCCTTAACAGTGTCAAGAGTTACTTCCACCATATTCCTGTTAGACCTCATTAAACTCTCACTCGTTTAGCATCACAATGGAACTATGGACGGAGACGGGTGGAGAGGAGGCCAGCTTTGCTCTTTCCTTCTTCTCTTATCACTTCATCTCCACCTTTCACTTGAAAAAGCATTTAATGTATTCTGTGGCGTGTGCGTGTGTGTGTGTGCACGCATGTGATGTGCACATGTGCCTGCAGGTGCTAGTGCACACCTGGAAGCCAGAGGAGGATGCTGGGTGCATTGGTCTATTACTGTCCACCTTATTGCTTTGAGACGGGGTCCCCACCCTGAACCTGGAGCCAGGTTAGTAGCCAGCAAGCTTCAGTGACTCACAGCACTGAGATTACAGGAGCCTACAGCTTTTATATAGGTGATGGGTTCTAAACTCAGGCCTCCAAGTAGTAAGCACACTTACATACTAAGCCATCTCCCCAAATTCCATTGCGCTTTCTTTTTGTGTATTCAGATACACATGCATGTAGTGGGGCTATACGAAAGTCAAAGTTCAACACTGGACATCTCCTTCAGTCACTCTCCACCTTGTTCTTTGTGACAGGGTCTC